GAGGCAGCAGTTCTGGCAACTGATTGCCTTCAGGGGAGGGAATGCCTGCGCATCTGACCTCCCCCCACAATCACTCAAAACATTTGCTCTCCACCTAAGCCTCCCCCCCTCCAGCAGCTGTAACTCTGTATAGGAGTAGAAAACCCCATCTTTCGCCTTTGGAGTGGCTGTTGGTTTTGAACTGCTGACCTTGCAGTTAGCAGCCTAATGCAAACCACTATGCCACCGAGGCTCCTCATGAAAAAATAGCACCCCCCAAAATAATAATAATAATAATTTTAAAATGAAAAACAATAGTACAGAAGTATCTCGATTGAGCTTTGGCTTTTAAAAAGAATTTCAGGCAAGTGGATTTATATTACTATTCTGGATCCTAAAATAACTCTGCTGTCTATACCCAAGAGTGTGATATAATCCAGATATACTTCAACCACTTATTGCTGGGATGCAAGTTTGTTTTGATTTCAGAAATTTGGATAGCTAGCCATAACTTTTAAGAGAATCTTAATATTGGCTCACTGTAATAGCACAGGCTTATTGGGTAAGTAAAATAAGCTACTGTCCTGATGGCAGTCTCTGGATGACAGGACAAATGCTTGTGTGTACTATCTTCTGAGTAGCTGTCCACAAGTCATGATGGTTTCTCAGCTAGCATCTAGAAAACAGGGCACTTAGTTGGCATAGTTATACACTGGGCTGCTAACTGCAAGGTCAACAGTTTGAACTCAATAGCTGTTCCTTTTTGGGAGAAAAACAGGGCTTTCTACTCCTGTAAGGAGTTTGGAATAGATCGAAATGATCAATATATAAACCCCATGCCACCCACCCAAGGTGACGAACAACAGATGGTGTAAGATATGAAAATAATTTATCAAGGGCTCATGAGGGTGGGAGGTGGGGGAAGGAAGGAAAAATTGAGGAACTGATACCAAGGGCTCAAGTAGAAAGAAAATGTTTTGAGAAGAATGATGGCAACATATGTACAAATGGAGGTGTGGATTGTTAGAACAGCTGTAATGTAAGAGCCCCCACTAAAATGATTTTAAAAAAAAAGAGTTACAGTCTGAAACTCGCAGGGGCAGTTCTACCTTATCCGGTAGGGTCATTATGAGTCAGCATTGACTCGATGGCAGTGAGTTTGGTTTATACAGAAACTACTTCTGCCGATATGAGAACTTCAAAGTTTGCATATTCTCGAAATTGGTGAAGGTTTAAAATATTTTTTATTTTTAGGTTTGAGGAGAGTTCTATTTGGGGCATGCAGTTCAATGAACAAAATAACGGTATCCTGCTGATGAAATTACTCTAACCAAGGTCTCCAGTTTAAGTACAGCTAATATGGAACACGGGAGAAAGAGGAGGCTTTCTACTCCTCTAAAGGGGCAGTTCTGCCCTGTCCTGTGGGGTCACCTCAGTAGGCATCGACTTGCTGGCAGTGAGTGAGAATACGAGACAAATTCTGATCACGGTATGGAAGGGTGACCCTGGGGGCCCAGAGCACGGATAGCCCAGCAGCTGACTAGGGATTGACACATGCCAGTTGAATGCCCTATTTCAGGGAAGATAAATGGTTTGACTTGCTTGCTGTGTGACCTTGGGCAACCGACATCCCTCCTCTGTGTTTTAGTGTTTCCATCTATAGAAATGGGGCTCTTGACCTGCTGGAGTGTGGTTGTGGAGAGTGACGGAACTGTGTGTAACAAGCTCCGCACAGGCCCAGCACAGAGTGAGCACTGAGAAGTGCTGGTGCTTGTAAGTGGCCCTTCCTGTTTGTTTGTAACCTTCCATAACCGTCTGGGTCAAGTGTGAGAAGCCCCTTCCGTTCCCATTCAACAACAATTTGTACCCATGACCTTAGTTGCCATTGCCTCAGTGCCCACTTCCTCTCTGGGTTCTCACTCTCCCTGTCGGCCCATCTTCCTCGCCCCTTCTTGCCATCTGAACTTGGCGTTGAGTGTTCTGGGGAGCATGCTCCTCCTCAAGGGTGTTAGTGTCTATTGTTGAAAGGTGAACTCCAGGAGTGGGTGGCACTGAGTCTTACGACTGTTGTCACCATCTTTCCAGCAACAACCGAAACTAGGCCAGGGGCTGCTTACAGACCACATTCACACCTCCGCATTAAGGAGGCCAAAACGCTGCCAGACAAGACAGTCTAAAACCGGTGAAGGAGAAGCGCTCTGTGTTTGCAAAGAACACCCGAGATTGAGTCATCAGCAGCAGGAATTTTCTCTTGTTCACCTTTTTGTTAGAAAGGGCGTGGGAAAGAACGTTCTTCTCACCTGGAGGGCTTGATGCAGCTTGTCGGCAAAGTACAATGGTGTGTTCCTGATCACGGAGGCTGGCAGCAGAAAGGGGAAGAGGGGAGAAATGGCTGCGGGCCAGCCTTCTCCCTGGCCCCAGGAGAGAGCCCTGTCTACCATATGTCCCGAGCAAGCCCTTACCTAGACTGAGCAGTGTCACCTGGGCCTCGCCCTGGAAACGGTTCCGGACAGCATCCTCCACCTTTTGCCCCGTGCGCCGCTGGTACTGCTCAAAGACTTGTGATGTGCATGGGAGGCGGGGAGAGGCCGTGGAGGGGGCGGGGTTAGTTATCACGGAGCAGGATTGGCCGTTCCCTGTGGTCCTCAGCCCAACCTCATCCCTGGAGCACACCCGGGAGAAGGGGCTGTGTGTACCTCGAGCCAGGTGTTCCACGTTTCTCTGGGTGAGAAGTAGGACCCACGTCTCCTGTGCGCCAGCTTCTCCAGCCTGCTGTAATGCCTGACAGCAAAGAGTGTGTAAGGGCCCGGACCACTCTCCCAGGTCAGGGTGCCCTTCAACCTAGGTGGCCATCTGGGGAAAGCCTGGTTCTGCGTGTGGATTTTTCCAACACACCCTCCAATTCTCACGGTGCTTGGAGACAAGTCGGAAGCTCCGGCGTTGGGACTCAGAGCTCTGCCCCAGCCACCGTCAGTCCGGGTCCCTGATCTGCCTGCCCCCTGGCCATGTCTCTTGACCTCTCAGACCACGATGACCGAACCTCTCTGCCCCACTGCCTTTTCCCCCATCAAACCCTGATGTTTCTCCCAGGCTAAGTCCTTGCCTGAAGCAGAGGAACTGGAGATGGAAGGAGGTTGGCAGCCTTCATTCCTGAGGAGGAAGACCCTGAAGTGAACATCATTTAGACTTGGGGTTTGAGGTACAGGGGGTGAGGTAGGGTGGGAGGGCCCTATCCTAACCCAGTGGGCATAAAAGACAATGGTTTAGTTTCCTTTGTAAATGCCTAGTTCTGTCAACCAGTTCTTCCCCAAGCCATCTCCGAGGGACGTTGGGTTCATAGTCATCATTTGCTGAGACCATTGGTTGAGAACTGAAGAGATTGTGCTTCCAGAAGCCTTCATCTTGACAATGGAATGGAATTAACCAGTAGAGAAAGGTATTGGAAGCGCTACACCATTGGATTTCATTGGCTTATTTGTGGTGGATTGAAAACAACAACAGCCAAGAGTCAGGATTGCAAGAGGAGCTTCCCCCCTACAGCTCTAGACCGCAAATTGGAAAAGTCCTGGTACCCAAGGAGTTGAAATAGTCTCCTAAGGAAGGCCTGGGCAGGGCTGTCCTCCCCACCCCCCTGAACTGCCATGACAGGAGAGGCCAGTCTGCCAGCTGATGAGCTCACATCTTGTGAGCTCAGGAGTCAGGGGCTTCAAACCTCACGGCCATCAATCCCAACTCAGCGACAGAGTAGAACTGCCCCTTAAGGTTTCTGGGACTTGAAATCTTTACAGGAGCAGACAGCCACTTCTTTCTCCCACAGGGGAGCGCTCAAGCGGGGTTGAGCCACTGACCTGTTAGCAGCTCAACTCGTAGCCCATTGTGCTATCAGGGCTCCTGGAGTCTGAGGCTAGATGAGAGAAAAGGCTCCGAGTGTGTCATCAGCTGACACTTCCACCCCAATCCCTGACACGCCTTCCAGAAGGCAGGGACTGGTCTGCAGGACAAAGAGGTGCTCAAGTCCCTGGCTCTGCAAGAGGGCAGGGGAGGGGGGGTCTTATGCACTGCTGTGCAAACGCCAAGCCCTCTGCTCACCTGAACATCCTGCTCCTCCAGGTGGTAGTCAATGATCCCAGAGTAGCTCTCACGACCCCCCTGCGAGAAAAGACTGTTCTCAGAAGGTCTTTGAGGGATGGTTTTTTATCTCCAGGCCAAGACAGCAAACCCCCAGCCCTCTGGTGTCTATAGCACCACAGTAGTGGTAATGGTAGCGCCTTTCCCCACAGCCCATCCTCACCTTGGCCAAAGCCAGGAGCAGGTCCCGCAAGATGCCACTGGTCTCAGACTTGATGTCCTCCTCAGCCTCCACCTGGAAATCTGGGGTGGAGTCCAGCGCTCTCTGAATCCTCCTGACATTTCCCAAAGTCCCAACAACAACAACAACAACAGCAACAAAACAAACAAACGCACTGCCATCAAGTCAACGCTGACTCATAGCATCTTGATGGGAGAGGAAACCTCCCCTTCCTCCCGAGGAGTGGTGGTGGTGTGGAACTGCTTTGTGGTTAGCAGCCCAACACAAAAGACCCCCAGATGACTAAGCTGCTAGGCCCTGCCCCTTCTGTCAGCTCCTGCTTGCGGTAGCTTGGTGGCTGCTGGCTCCTGGGTGTAAGTTAGAATTCATCATGGCCATCCCGGAAAAAAAACATCTCTCTGCTGAGACTAACTCATGCACTGTGGGAGTCTGGGTGGGGGCCTCAGTGCTAAACACCCTGCCCAAGGCAGGAGGCCTCCGGGTGGAGGCCCGACAGGAAAGAGGGTGAGGAGAGCCATAGTTGAAGGCCAGGTGACTAGAGGCTGGGGGTCAGAGAGGTAGAATACGGAGAAGGAAGGAAAGAACAGGGGGAAAATGGGGGGGAATGGGGGGAAAGAAGAGCGAGCACCGTGGTGATGATGAGATATGGACGAGGAAAACTGGCTTCAGCAGGTGGGTGTGGTGGGTGGAAGCCAGGCAGAGATCTCAGCCGAGGCCCCGAGCGGTGACACCCATGCCTTGGACAGCAGGTTCCCTTCATCCCCCAGGCTGCATGAGGTTCCATTCAGCCTGGGACGTGGTGTGACGGCAGGGACACCAAGGAGCCAGAAAGGAGATGAGAGGACCCTTGGGACTGTCCCAGAGCCCAACATTGTCATTACTCTTGGAATCTGCCCCGGAGCCCCAGACTACAATGATGAATCATGTTCCCTCCGTTTCCTTCATCATCACATGGGATGTCTCCCCGGGAGGGAGCGAGGCTCTGGGTGGGGAGGAAGGAGAGCCCCCAGGGGAACAGAACTTGGGCAGATAGGTTCCCAGGTGGCTTGCCGCCTAAGGAGCGCGGGATGGGAGTGGACGATCCGCTGGCTTCCTCTCCAGTTCTCGCTGCCCTTTACCTCGGTTGTAGACTGCCAGGCACTCCTGCAGTCGGCTTGGAGCTCGGGTGGCAAGAATTTCCATGGCCACAGTGTCCTCAGGAGAACCTCTGCCCTGCGAGGAATTGAAGGCCCTGTATCATTAGGAGGAGCGCTGGTGGCAATGTGGGGTCGGCGTCGGCCTGCTGACGGCATGGTCACCCCACCCCCCGGGAGAAAGCTGAGGCTGTCTGCTCCCATAAAGATGTCCACTCTCGGTAAACCTAAGGAGCAGGTCACCTCTGTCCTAGAGAGTCGCTCTCGGTGGGACCCGACTGGATGGCAAGGGCGTAGGGGCAGCGAGCAGACGCTGACAACTCCTCAGGGGCATGGGCCCAGCCCCTTGAGCCAATAAGGAAGGGAGGAGAGGTGAAGGGCCGAGGGCAGAGGGCACCCGGAGGCAGTCAGTTCTCTCCTTCCCTCAGGGGTGCCCTCAGCCCTCCCAGAAAGTTTCCTCTCTTGGTACCTTCAGCGCTGCCCTCAGTTCCTGGGCATCGCTTTGGGCTGCTGGCTGCATCAGTGCCACCACGATCCGTTCAAGGTTGTGGGAGAGAGCTGCCCGCAGGGACGTCAGCAGGTCCTGCGAGAGAAAGCCTCCACGGCAGAGAGGCAGGCTTGACGAGAAGGGCCCAGGGTGTGCAGAGGTTTGAGAAGGTGTAGGCACGTCCCAAGATCACTGGCCAGTTTCCAGACAGCCCCAAAGCACCAGCCCATTCTGGCAGAGCGCAGAGGCTGCCTTCAGCTACGACCCAACTGCTGTAATCTGAGTCTTCCAGGGGGCTTCTTTCCCGCAGGGCACAGCTCCTGAGAAGCCAGACCCTCACCTGCTGGGTGCGCTCCTGGAAGGCCCTGGAGATGAGTTGCCTTTGTTCTCTGCTCCGATTGGTCAGCACATCCATGATGCTGGTGTGGTCCACGCCTGCATCAAAAGGGGAGCTGGTCTATCACCTAGGCAGGATCCATGGCTGGGGTCCTTCTCCTTGACTGACTCGGAGCTTCCAGAGGAGGGGAGAACAAACAAGAACTGGGAAAGGATGGATCAGTGGCTACCTGAACCCTCGTTTCTATTTGGTCTCAGAAAAAAAAAAAAAAAAAAAACAAAAATGATACAATGACACGCAAATCTGACCCTAACTTAACAACTCGACATACAATCCTTACAATCGCATCACGATGAACAGAGAAAAGATGGATGTTGCAAAGGATATCCTCTTGCTTGTAGCCGCAATCCATGTTCAGGGAGGCAGCAGTCAAGAGATGCAAGGATGCTTTGTGTGAGGTAAATCTGCTGCACAAGACTTCTTCAAAATGTTCACAAGCAAGGATGTTAGTTACTCTGAGGACTAAGCTGTGCCTGACCCAAGCCACAGTATTTTTATTCGCCTCATACGATTGTGAAAGTTGGACACAGAATAAGGAGGACCCCTAAAAGTTGATGCTTCGGATGATGGTGCTGGTGAAGAATCGTGGAAGTGGCGGGGGCTGCCGAAAGAACAGAAACAGCTGTCTTGGCAGAAGTCTGGCCAGGTGCGCCTTAGAAGCAAGGATGGTGAGACTTTGAATAGGTTCTCAGGAGAGACCAGTCCCTGGAAAAGGACGTCATGCTTGGTGAAGGTAGGGGGCAGAGAAAAAGAGGGAGGCCCTTGACCAGATGGATGGACACAGAAGCTGGGACAATGGGCTCAAACATAAGAATAAGCGGGAAGAAAGCACAGGACCTGGCTGTGTTTCTGTTGTACACAGACGAGTCCGGCCTGACTGCACGGCACCAAACAATCACAACAGCAACAACAACAGACTTGAGAATCCTAGCACAGCCATTACGGGTGGCATTTCCTTGGGCAAGGCTCTTATCCTCCCTGAGTCCCAGTTCCCGCCTCTGTACAATGTAAATAATGGGACTTACCTCACAGGGGTGTAATGAGACTAAGATGACACACCTATTTGACATACAGCAATTCATGTTGACATACAAATATGTGTATGTTGAGCCTTGTTAGTTCTTCCTATCAGACTCCTTCCCGGCCTACAGAGCTGTTTCTCGTAGGTCGATCCACAGGGACAACAGGGGTGCTCACCGTGTCCTGCAATGGCCCTCAGCAGTCTCTGCACATCCTTGTCCACACTGAAGCTCAAGAAAGTCCTAAGGGTGCCCAGAGTGCCCCACGCTGCAGTCTGTAAGAGCAGAGCGATTGACTGGAGGGGAAGGGGTACCACAGGTCTGCTCACACCCTCCCCTGTGCGTCCGTGCAGCCGTGGGACATGTGCTCCTGTGGCCTGTTCCCTCACGCCCTCTCAGCCCTCAAGTTGATATTTAAAAAAAAAAAAAAAGATTCCTCAAATCCCAGCAGTTCCTTACCTTGTGGGCAAGACCCAGGTAGCCAAGGATCTCCTGAGTCAAGGATGATACCGCCGTCCTGCCGGTCACAGACATGGTACAACTCGCTACCCGGAGGAAGGAAACAGAAGCCAACTGAGGTAAACTGGCCAACTTCCAGGGCCTCTATCACCCTCAGGCCCTGGGCCCCTAGGGCTAGTCCTTTCCCCTGTTTCAGAAAAAAAAAACAGAACAACCATGACCACCTGCTTGACTGAGTCTGGGAGTCAGAGTGGAGCTAAGGTAGAGAGCCAGAGGCCGGCCTCCACCTTACTCACCCCTCGCCCCTGGCTTCAGGAGACAAGGGTTGATCAGGATGTCGCTAGGACTTGCACCCCCCCCAAAAAAACCCTTCCAACTCCAGGACCCCCACCCTTGTTCAGAGACGGAAGCCCTCCTCCTCCCGTGGTCGTGTCCCTTGCTTCCATGGCCTGACAGGGTTCTCAGTTGCCTTGGGGCAGAGTGGGGTAGCCGAGCTGAAGGGGGAAGGTTAGCAGCCCCAGTCTACCAGCAAGGCCCAGATCTCTGCCCATACAACCACCTGCCTGCTGTCTGCCTTTTGCCCTTGGAGCTTCGGGCTGGAATCTTTAGTTCCGTCCATGCACTCTCTGCAAGTATGTGTTCTCGTGGACAGGTGAGTACTGGGAGGAGGACGCGGGCAGTGGTGTTGGAAAAAACCTCAGTCCTCCTACCCCCAGGGGAGAACCCAGGGCCAGCACTTACCCAGAGGTGCCGGGGCTGGGGAGCTACGCTCACGCCTGCCTGGTGGTGTAGCTGCACAGGCACCAGCTCCTGTGTGGCCTGCTGGAGAGGAAGGGGGGTTGTGCAGCCCAGGCTGAGCAGCCAGTCAGATGACCTCCCTTGCAGACCCGACCAGCAGTTGCCTCCAGCCCTGGCCCCTCCCAGGTGTGGGAGAGGACCAGGCTGTACCGGGTTCCACAGACCAACACCTCTCTGCCTACCTAGCGTCTCTCCTCCCAAGAACTGGGCCTCAGCCCAGTTGAGTGGATGCCTCTCGGCTTCTCGGCAGCTTAGCCCCAGACACAGGAGGCTTTGTGCATTGCTTCCCCTGTGGGGCCAAGTAGGTCCACAGAGAACCAGTCTCTAAGTCTGTAAGAGTCCAGCTTCTGACCTGGCTCTGCCTCTGGCTCCAGCTCCCTAGGGGGCAGGTCTGACAGGCTCCAGGCTGATCTCCAGACTGATAGAGGAAAACCTGTTAGGGCACATACCAGCAGGGCACCCCAGCCTGCACCCCAGAGGGGTCCCAGCCCTTCCTCCTGGTTAGAGTCAGCCAGCAGGAGGGGGAAGGCTAGGGAACTGCTCACATCTGGGGACCTGCTCACATCTGTAGAGAAGGGAGAACACAGCGACATGGGTGGGGGGTGACAGTAGATCAGCCAGAGAACAATGCAAACGGTGGGGAGGGATGCGCCCGGCTCCAAAAAGAAAAAAGGATGGGAGCGACTTCCTGGGCCCCGGCTTCCGAGATGCCTGCTGTGGTCTTTTGCCTGCCGAGGCTGTTCAAGCAGCTGGGGATGCAAGCGCAGCCTGTTACTGGTGCACAGAGCGGCAGGTGAACAGTCCCCGGAGCCTCAGGGATCTCTGAGGAATGGTGCAAACCTCTCAGCTGCCTCCTCTGGGTGGAAGAGCAGCCTTTTCCCCAGGCCCCCTGGAGGGAAGGACTCAGGTAGGAGTTGGGCACAGAAGCCAAAGAACTGTCTTTACTCCTTTGCTACTCCTTCCCCAGCCCAGGAAGGCCCTCACGGGTTGTCTTAAATCCCAGGAGGAGGGCTCTGCAGTGTTTCCACCAAGCCTGGGGAGAAGGCCAGCAAGGAGAAGTAACATGGAGTCAATCACTGCTTCTCACTGTTCTCCCCCTGTGAACGTGTGCAGGTTACCCTCCACACACACACACACACACACACACACACACACACACACACACACACACACACCCTCTTTTTAGCTTTTTACTATGACTCAGCTGGAGGCTGAGAGAGTAAATCATCCCCCCACCCCCACCCCCGACAATCCATACACATCGTGTTTCATGTCATGATTGCAGGACCCAGGGCTTCTGAAACTCTCTGCCCTATGACTCCTTTTTGTCCAAGACATTTGCAGCATGGGCAGGTGCCATTAGAACACCTCTGATTCATTCTGCATTCAATTTTTTTTAATCATTA